ACTCCTACAGGCCCAGACTCTGGCTCTTCATTCCTGAGTACCATTATCCTAAAAAATACTTGCACTACTTATCTCTTCCTAAATGTTTTTGCTCTAACACAGTGCCCTTCTTCATTTCCAGAGCAGGCACCTACCTTTAACCCCTGCTACCATGGGTGATAATCAATGCTCTCTCTAAGTCGTTGGGGTTTGCATGGTTCAATGAGGATGTGGGCTATGCCGTGGAGGGCCACCCAGGATGAACAGGCCACAGCAGAGAACTCAGACCAAGTGTGATCCACTGGAGAAGGAAATGGCAACCCACTCCAGTATCTTTGCCAAGAAAACCCCATGGACAGTAACAAAAGGCTAAAAGATACGACGCCGGAAGATGAGCCCCTCAGATAGGAAGGTATCTAATATGCTATTGAGGAAGAGCAGAGGGCAAGTACAAGTAACCCCAGAAAGAGTGAAGCAGCTGGGCCAAAGCCGAAAGGAAGCTCAGCTGTAGATGGGTCTGATGGTAAAAGGAAAGTCCGATGCTGCAAAAAACAATACTGCATAGGAACCTGGAATGTAAGATCTATGAATCAAGGTAAGCTTGACGTGGTAAAAAATGAGAAGGCAAGACTGAACATCGACATCTTGGGAATCAGTGAACTAAAGTGGACAGGAATGGGCGAATTTAATTCAGAAGACCATTATATCCACTACTGTGGCCATGAATCCCATAGAAAAAATGGTGTGGCCTTTATAGTCAACAAGAGAGTGCGGAAGGCAGTAATGGGATACAATCTCAAAAATGACAGAATGATCTCGGTCTGAATCCAAGGCAAACCATTCCACATCACAGTAATTCAAGTCAAAGCCCCAACCACTGATGCAGAAGAGACTGAAGTGGACCGGTTCTATGAAGACCTACAACATCTCCTAGAACTAACACCAAAAGAAGATGTCTACCTCATCATAGGGGACTGGAATGTTAAAGTAGGAAGTCAAAAGGTAACAGGTTTGGCCTGGGAGAACAAAATGAAGCAGGGCAAAGGCTAACAGAATTTTGTCAGGAGAATATGCTGGTCATAGTGAACACCCTCTTCCAACAACCTAAGAGGCGACTCTACATATGGACATCATCAGATGGGCAACACCGAAATCAGATTGATTATATAATCTGCAGTCAAAGATAGAGAAGCTCTATCCAGTCAGTAAAAACAAGACCTGGAGCTGACTGGGGCTCAGATCATGAGCTAGGTAAAGTAAAGGTAAAGGTTCCCTTGCTCGAAAGCCAGTCGAATCCGACTCTAGGGTTGCGGTGCTCATCTCCGTTTCAAAGCCGAAGAGCCAGCACTGTCCGAAGACATTTCCGTGGTAATGTGGCCGGCATGACTAAACACCAAGGCGCACGGAACGCTGTTACCTTCCCACCGAAGTGGTCCCTATTTATCTACTTGCAATTTCTTGCTTTCGAACTGCTAGGTTGACAGGAGCTGGAACTAGAGACAGGAGCTCACCCTGTCTTGCGGCACCCGGCCATTCAGATTTGACCTAGATCAGATCCCTGATGAATATACAATGGAGGTGAAGAATAGGTTTAAGGGACTAGATTTAATAGATAGAGTGCCTGAAGAACTACGGACAGAGGTTTGTGACATTGTACAGGAGGCAGCAATCACCACCATCCCAAAGAAAAAGAAATGCAAGAAAGCAAAGTGGCTGTCTGATGAGGCTATACAAATAGCAGAGGAAACAAGGAAAACGAAAGGCAAAGGTGAAAAGGAAAGATTTACCCTACTGAATGCAGATTTCCAGAGAACAGCAAGGAGAGATTAGGAGGCTTTCCTGAATGAACAATGCAAAGTAATAGAGGAAAACAATAGAATGGGAAGGACTAGAGATCTCTTCAAGAAAATTGGAGAAATCAAGGGATCATTCCATGCAAAGCTGGCCATGATAAAGGACAAAAAAGTTAGGGACCTAACTGAAGCAGAAGAGATTAGGAAAATATGGTACAAATACACAGAAGAACTATACAAGAAGGACCTCAATGTCCTTGACAACCACGACGGTGTAATCACTGACCTCGAGCCAGACATCCTGGAGTGAGAAGTCAAATGGGCCTTAGAAAGCATTACTAACAACAAAGCTAGTGGAGGTGATGGTATTCCAGCTGAGCTATTCAAAGCCTTAAAAGATGATGCTGTTAAAGTGCTGCACTCAATTTGCCAGCAAATTTGGAAAACGCAGCAGTGGCCACAGGATTGGAAAAAGTCAGTATACATTCCAATCCCAAAGAAGGGCAATGCCAAGGAATGTTCAAGCTATCGCACAATTGCACTCATATCACACGCTAGCAAGGTCATGCTCAAGATCCTACAAGCTAGGCTTCAACAGTACGTGGATAGAGAACTACCAAAAGTACAAGCTGGGTTTCAAAGAGGTAGAGGAACTAGAGATCAAATTGCCAACATTCGCTGGATTATGGAGAAAGCAAGAGAGTACCAGAAAAATATCTACTTCTGCTTCATTGACTATGCTAAAGCCTTTGACTGTGTGGATCACAACAAACTATGGCAGGTCCTTAAAGAGATGGGAGTACCAGACCACCTCACATGTCTCTTGAGAAATCTGTATAAGGGCCAAGACGCGACAGTTAGAACCGGATATGGAACAACTGATTGGTTCAGCATAGGAAAAGGAGTACGGCAAGGATGTATATTGTCACCTTGCTTATTTAATATATATGCAGAGTACATCATGTGAAATGCTGGCCTGGATGAATCACAAGTGGGAATTAAGATTGCTGGGGAAAAGATCAACAACCTCAGATATGCAGACGATACCACTCTAATGGCAGTACATCATGCGAAATGCCGGCCTGGATGACTCAGAAGCCAAGATTGCTGGGGAAAACATCAACCTCAGACATGCAGACGATACCACTCTAATGGCAGAAAATGAAGAGGACCTAAAGAGCCTCTTGCTGAAGGTCAAAGAGGAGTGAAAAGGTTGGCTTGAAACTCAACATCAAAAAAACTAAGATCATGGCATCCGGCCCCATCACTCCTTGGCAAATAGAAGGAGAAGTTGTGGAAGCAGTGACAGACTTCATGTTCCTGGGATCCCAGATCACCGCAGACAGTGACTGCAGCCATGAAATTAAAAAACGCCTGCTCCTTGAGAGGAAAGCGATGGCAAACCTTGACAGCATAATAAAAAGTAGAGACAGCACCTTGCCAACAAAAGTCCGTAAGGTCAAAGCAATGGTATTCCCAGTAGTACTGTATGTCTGCGAGAGTTGGACTATAAGGAAGACTCTTGAGAGTCCCTTGGACTGCAAGGAGATTGTATCAGTCAGTTCTAAAAGAAATCAACCCTGACTGTTCCCTGAAAGGCCAGATACTGAAGCTGAAGCTCAAATACTTTGGCCACCAAATGAGAAGGGAGCCCTCACTGGAGAAGACCTGATGCTGGGAAAAATTGAAGGTCAAAGAAGACGGGGACAGCAAAGGATGAGATGGTTAGACAGTGTTATCGAGGCAACGAACATGAAATTAAGCAAACTCCGGAGCATGACAGAAGACAGGAGGGTCTGGCGTAATGTAGTCCATGGGGTCGCGAAGAGTCGGACCTGACTGTGCGACTGAGCAACAACAACAAAGTCGTGGAGACAAGATTCTAGTTTGGTGTAGTGGTTAAGTGCACGGGCTCTAATCTGGGAGAACCGGGTTTGATTCCCCAGTCCTCCACTTGCACCTGCTGGATGACCTTGGGCAAGCCACAGTTCTGGCACAGCTGTTCTTGAAAAAGAGCAGTTTCTGTCAGAACTCTCTCAGCCCCACCTACCTCACAGGGTGTCTGTTGTGGGGAGGGGAAGGGAAAGGAGTTTGTAAGCCGCTCTGAGACTCCTTTGGGTAGTGAAGGGCGGAGTATAAATCCAATCTCTTCTTCTTCTACTTTGTGAGCTACTGGCATTAAAGTTGTGAGCAAGTGATTTGGCTACTGCATAGTTTGCTCTGGAGCGATCCTTCCTGAGCTAAGACAAAAATGTGTGAGCTGGAAACTAAAAAAAAAGTGAGTTAGCTCACACTAACTCAGCTTAGAGGGAACACTGGTGACAATTACTACCATGTGACAGGAGGTCACATGACATCACACTCATGTGCCATCACAACAGCATGACAGGAAGAGCCACAGTTATGAGCTCAGTCCTGTAGAGGAGGCTGGTGCCTAACTTGCAGGTGCATAGTGATGCAGGGCAAAGGGTGGTTCTGAACCTGGTATAAGAATAACTTTTCACCAGTAAGTGCCCGGTCTTACCATCTTGCTGCTTCTGTCGCTACTTCTGCAAAGATAAGCAGGAGTCATAATGCCCTTGCTCCCTATCCCTTCACACTTACAGGAGCTCTTTCTTCAAAGCAGACATATCTGAGGGTCTCGATCCATGGGTTGAAGACCCACTGTTCTGATGCTGTCACTGTGGTAGCAGTTAGAAGTGAAATATAACTTTTAAAAATATATGTATTAAGTATAATGCTAACTGCTTTGTGGCTTTGGACAAGAACGGATAGGAATCCAAATAAGTGATGCAATGCACATAAATATTTGGGAAACGGTGCCAGTTCTGGGAGCAAGAGGGGCTATTCCCCTTGCCTTGCAGTTTTTGTTAAATCCCTGTTGGTGCGTTCGTTTTTTAGCCAGCCTGGAGGATGCACTGCAAACGCAGCAGCTGGGGCGGTGCAATGTACCTATGCCCACAGCTGTTGTTGCCAGGAGACAGAGTAGCAAGCTTAGAGCGGGAGGAGGAGGAGAGAAGGGAGTGGGCTGCCGAGGCTGGAGCAAGAGCGGCAGCGGGGAGCTCTGGGTAAGGAGCGTGCTGCTCCTACGTTAAGCCGCTGCTGTTGCTTTAGGACGGAGTGAGAGGAAGCCGCGCCGCAGATCGAGAGGGGGATCCGATTGCAGCCATGCTGAATCACAGGCGCTGATTAATGCTCCCAGCTTGCTGTACCCAGCTCCGGGCGAACGGGGGTAGAAGCGGCATTGCCTGAGGACTGGAGACGAGGGTGCATGCAGAGTTCAAGCGCCACTCGGGCTGCGCACAATGGACGACGAAAGGTTTGTGTTGATCGTGAAGTGTGCGTGTGTGTTGGTGGGCGACTGGAAGAGGACCGGCGCCTTTGTGTTTGCGTAGAGGGGATGGCAGGGCAATTCCGAGCTTGCCACTGGCGAGGGAGACAGCTTTGCCTGATTCATCAGCATCACTCCGAAGTTAACTGTAACCTTCCCGGCGACATGGGTTATTATTTACGAATCTATCCGCGACGCCCTGCTCACACGAAGGCTGTCATGTTCTTATTCTCTCTCTCTCTCTCTCTCTCTCTCTGCGATGCTTGTTCCGTGTGGCTTTTCAAGGGCTCATTCACCGGGGAACTCTATTCTCATCCCTTCTACAGATTATCCCTCTACTTCCTGTCTCCGATGGCCTCTGCTTAAAAGTCTCTCCCTCCCTTCTTCCGTTTCTGTGTTTGTGTGTGTTTTTACAATTGAAAATCCTTTGGCAGGCATCTGACCTGGGGCTCCCTGTACTTGTTTGTAGCTTACATGGAACTTTTATTTGAAAAGCCAGCCGTTTGAGAAAACGCTGCTTTCTCTCCAGGGCCAGGCTTTTAACTTACGAAAAGCTTATTTTTGAGTTTTCATAAACTTATCAGGAAGATGGTGAGCAGAGGTACTTGTGAGCACTATGCAGCGACCAGCCAGGCATTACAATGCAAGAGCAGTGATTAAATTCAGAACTGCTGAGGCTGGTATGGACTTTCCTCCCCACCTCCCTTGTGGTGGAATTCACTTTCTAATCCACAGACACATGCCTATTGGGTTCCTTGGCACAGCAGTAACATAGGTGAAAAGCTAACTTGTTATGGGCTTAATGAATCTCAAAAGTGCAGGAAGTGTATGTGTGGGAGTAGCCCCAAAGGTTTCTATAGAAACGCATTAGAATTTTACTAAAGTAACACAAGGTTGATTCACACAATTTGGTTTCCTGTTGTAGGGTGCCAGAAGCTATTCTTGCACCTGGGATTTTCATGGCTGCAGCTGCTGACTGAATTATCTTGGGATTTGTGGGTGGGAATACTTCAGTGTTCAGACAGTCAGGTAGTGACTGCGTATGGGTTGCCTGTAGCTCCCCAGTGTTCTTCTCTCATCTCCATGCTATCTCATTGATTGGCAGTATTTATTTTTGTTTAAAATACTTGTTTTCCGCCTTTCTGTCAAAATGTTCCACAGTGGCTCACACCCATTTTGTAGTAATGCTGTTTTGTTCACTCTCAGATATATATGTATATATGTATGTGTCACTTTCTGTCTTCTGCAATAAGTGTAAAGGTGAGCTTTAATGGAGTAATCTGGGTGCCCTCACAGGGGGAAAAACTGGTTGTGGAGCTCCAGCCAGAGGGGGCATACAGAGCAGGGCTTCTGACTTAACTGCAGGGCTTCTGATGAAGATCAACTGGGAGAGAATGGTCTTTTAGATACCTGGGCCTGAGACCATATGAGGCTTCATAGATCATAACTAGCCTGTTGAGCTGTGCTTGGAAGATAATTGGGAACCAAGGAAACTCTTTTAAAATTGGCATAATAAACGTGTACCTACAGGCAACTTCTTTGTGGCATTTTGTACCAGTTGAAACTTCTAAACAGCCCACATACAGCGCATTGCAGTAGTCCATCGTGGATGTAATTAGATATGGATAAAGTAAAGATCAAGGTTCCCTTGCTCGAAAGCCAGTCGAATCCGACTCTAGGGTTGTGGTGCTCATCTCCGTTTCAAAGCCGAAGAGCCAGCGCTGTCCGAAGACATTTCTGTGGTCATGTGGCCGGCATGACTAAACACCAAGGTGCACGGAATGCTGTTACCTTCCCACTGAAGTGGTACCTATTTATCTACTTGCAATTTCTTGCTTTCAAACTGCTAGGTTGTCAGGAGCTGGAACTAGTTCCAGACATGGATAACCATGGCCAAATTATGTTTCTCGGGGTAACTTGTGGTAGGATTTGATATAATCGGGCTATTACAGTGATCAGTCATGTGGTGTACTGTTCTACCATGATAATCCCTGTCACTTTCTAGAAATCTGTTATACTTAGCTATACAAAGAAACTGAATCTGTATTTGCATTTCAGTGGTGAACTGGCATGTGCTCAGGCAAATAGCCAAGTTTTTTTAAGTCAGGGGGTATTTAAATTCCTTGGGGGGCACTTGATCGGTGCAGTGGAGGGGAGAAAGGTGCGGCGCAGGGGGAACGCAAGGGAAGCAGCGGCCATGGCAGAGTGGGGGAGTTCATGGCGGCTGCTGCATTTTACCAGAGAGTCGGAGGGCCTGGGCCGAAAGGAAATTAATGGGGCCTTGGTAGGAGGTCAGGAGCTGGGCCCCAAAATGCCCCATTGTAGCTACGAGCCTGCATGTGCTAAAACATTACAAAATACAGTTTCCACTCTCCCTTAGATCCTGTTTCTGGTGGCTTATTTCAGATCTTTTAAATCTTAATTGCCTCATGCAGGCAGTTTCCAAGGCACTTAAACTAACAAGAATGTAAAACATTTACAGATCCATTGTGAGGATATTACATATGCATCCTTTAAAGCAAAAAGGAAAAAGAAATCAGTGACCTGAAACTTATGACAGATGACAAGGCAAACAATGATAATAACAGTACTGATATGCTGTACAGGACCCTCGTTCACTTACCATCTCTGTGATGTAGAACTAAGGTGATTTCATCATCTTAACATATACATTATGGCTGGAAGTCACATCAATGTTTCCTGTTAGATAAAGTACACATTCATTTTTGTTTTTTTCTTGAGTGGCTTGTGACTTCATTGTGTTAGGGCTCAAACTGTTTGAAGCAGTGACCAAAACAAACTCCCAGCAGTTTTGCTGTCTTGAAAACAGGATATGCTGAACACTTCCTTTTCACATTGTGAACCAAAGTAATGTAAGAGGGGTGGGGGGAAAGGAACTTTAAGGCTTTACTTCACATGGAAGAATCCATCTCACAGCTGTCATTGGTTACTGTCAGGTGATTCGAAGGAGCTTTGCTTCCAGTGTAACTTTAAGTCTGCGGTGCTTATGTGGGAATAGTTCCCATTAAAATTAGTGGGACCTATCTTTTCCCCCCAGTTTAAAACACTTTTGGTGTGGGATGTTGTTGTTCAGTCGCACAGTCGAGTCCGACTCTTCGTGACCCCATGGACCAGCTCCCGCCAGGACCTCCTGTCTTCCGCTGTCCTCTGAAGTTGGCTCAATTTCATGTTCGTTGCATCGATGACACTGTCTAACCATTTCATCCTTTGCCGTCCCTGTCTTCTTTGACCTTCAATCTTTCCCAGCATCAGGGTCTTCTCCAGTGAGTGCTCCCTTCTCATTTGGTGGCCAAAGTATTTGAGCTTCAGTTTCATTATCTGGCCTTCCAGGGAAGACTCAGGGTTGATTTCTTTTAGGGTTGACTGATTTGATCTTCTTGCAGTCCAAGGGACCCTCAAGAGTCTTCTCCAGCACCATAGTTCAAAAGAATCTATTCTTCGGCGCTCAGCCTTTTTTATAGTCCAACTCTCGCAGCCATACATGACTACTGGGAATACCATTGCTTTGACCATGCGGATTTTTGTTGGCAGGGTGATGTCTCTTACTTTTTATCATGCTGTTTAGGTTCGCCATCGCTTTCCTCCCAAGGAGCAGACGTCTTTTAATTTCATGGCTGCTGTCACAGTCTGTGGTGATCTGGGATCCCAGGAACGTGAAGTCTGTCATTACTTCCACGACTTCCCCTTCTATTTGCCAAGGAGTGATGGGGTCGGATGCCATGATCTTAGTTTTTTTGATGTTGAGTTTCAAGCCCACTTTTGCGCTCTCCTCTTTTACTCTGAGCAAGAGGCTCTTTAGGTCCTCTTCATTTTCTGCCATTAGAGTGGTATTGTCTGCATATCTGAGGTTGTTGATCTTTTCCCCAGCAATCTTAATTCCCGCTTGTGATTCATCCAGGCCAGCATTTCGCATGATGTACTCTGCATATATATTAAATAAGCAAGGTGACAATATACATCCTTGTCGTACTCCTTTTCCTATGCTAAACCAATCAGTTGTTCCATATCCGGTTCTAACTGTCGCTTCTTGGCCCTTATACAGGTTTCTCAAGAGACATGTGAGGTGGTCTGGTACTCCCATCTCTTTAAGGCCCTGCCATAGTTTGTTGTGATCCACACAGTCAAAGGCTTTAGCATAGTCAATGAAGCAGAAGTAGATATTTTTCTGGTACTCTCTTGCTTTCTCCATAATCCAGCGAATGTTGGCAATTAGATCTCTAGTTCCTCTACCTCTTTGAAACCCAGCTTGTACTTCTGGTAGTTCTCTATCCACGTACTGTTGAAGCCTAGCTTGTAGGATCTTGAGCATGACCTTGCTAGCGTGTGATATGAGTGCAATTGTGCGATAGCTTGAACATTCCTTGGCATTGCCCTTCTTTGGGATTGGAATGTATACTGACCTTTTGGTGTGGGTAGCAACATATGATAACATCATTGAACAACATTTAAAATGAATAGCCTTGACAATCACTGTAGGGAATGATGATGAATATGTCTTCCAAGAGAGGGCATTCCATATTGCCAGCAGCACCATTGAAAAGACCTTACCACATGTTCCAGCTAGCCTTGACTTAGTGGAACATGGACATACAACGAGTGATGCTCTGTCATCTTGGTGCTTGGGGGGGAGGTCAACAGTGGGAGGGCTTCTAATGTCCTGGCCCCACTGGTGGACCTCCTGATGGCACTGGTATTTCTGGCCACTGTGTGATACAGAGTGTTGGACTGGATGGGCCTTTGGCCTGATCCAAAATTGGCATCTCTTATGTTCTTATGTTCTTAATGTCCCATGCCTGAGGGGCTGAGCAGGTATATCTGGTAGGAGATGATACTTGGGGCTTTGAAGTTTAGCATGAGTGTGTTGAATTATCTCTCTATATTATAAAGCTGATTTGGGGTGGCATTTCTCCTATGGGGTGGCAGGATTCGATTCACGCCAAAATCAGTTTGCTGCCTGAACTGCCACT